TACCTCATCAGTACACGTGTCTGTGAGCAGGTCGGGTTGCCACGGCTGCAATGTGATTACTTCATCAACTCAGGGCAAAAAGCCTGTCTGTTTGCAAGTCCAGTAGTAGCTATTGCTTGTGTGGTGGAAGGGAAGGCCTGCAGAAGTGAGGATGTAAGCTCAGTGCCACTGCTTTCTCTTATTTAAGCCTGCTGTATTGCTTCAGCACAAGCACGTCCATTTGCTATGCAGTCAGTTTATAGAGGTAGGAGAAACCTTTCCAGGCTGCTTTTTGTTGTGCTGTTTTTCACTGTACCTGCTGCACAGGTACCACACTTCGGAGCCCCTCACCCTTCCACGCTGTGCTGCCCATAGCTACGTGCTCGGGGCTTCCAGAGGTCCAGCGACTGCAGAAAGAAGGCATGCCTATCTAGGCTTCTCCCTATCATACTGCTAATTGCCACCACTTGCGAAGATGCTTCACTAGCATTTGCACTTGTAAACCTGCTATTTAGGAGACTCCAGTCTTCACCCATCCTTGGAGAAAACATTCCTGAGCTTTGTCTAAGGCATTTAGAGATGCATAATGATAGAGATATGGAACACCTTAAGTACTGTGTGTATGTGGGTAAAAGTTGGTATTTACCGGCCTTTATCTTGTGTATTTACTGGAAATAAATTGTATGGTATTTTAAATGACTTGCACAACTTCATGGTTTCACTGATCTATTTTATTATGCAAATAAGTTTAAGGGGTATTAGGTTGCATGAATCAGGATGTAGAATATCCCTGATGGCTGTGGGTTTTTTTCCTGTTCTGTCTTCCTTTTCCCATTCAGTGTAGGATGCTTTGCAGTGGAGCTTGCAGTATCAGGAGGGGGATAGTTAACTTCAAAGATTAATGTGCCTTCAACCAGAGGCAGATTCTGGACCAACAGGCTGTAGCTCAGGAGGCAGGCTTGAGAGAGAGAGAGGAAAAGGGGGAGGGGGGGAGAACCACACAAACCAAAACCAAAACCTGTGCTTGCATAGTGTCCAACACACCTGGAAACTGGGTGTTTATGAGAGAAAGGGATTGAAGAGGCAGTGTCATCTTGGGTTCCTATCTAGGTCTTCGATACTACACAGGGAAGATATTGCCACTCAACTGGCTGCCAGTGTGTTGCATCCCTAAGAGACAACATTTTCTGAATATTTTTCAAATGACACTTTAATTTTCAAAGTTAGATACTGTATAGTGCAGCGCCCCATAGATTTGTCTACTGACACAGCGTTAGAAGAGTTGTTGTCTTAACAACAACAATTAAAAAAAAAAAAGTAAAACCAAATGCATGACTTGAAGGCATTGCTAAAGCAAGGAAAATCCATTTGTAACTACTGTAATTTGTAGTACCAGAACTCTCCATAGTGCTGCAACTCTAGAAACTATATTCTGAAGTTCTCTACATTTCTTTAATCTTATTTCTATTGTCTTGTCTAAGCTGGAAATGGAGGTAACATGTTACAGTCCACCCTGAATGGTCTGAGTCATGGAATTAGCATTCAGTCATTTGGTGTAGTAAGTTCTTCAGTTTCTGCTGTCTCTTATAATTATGAAGCTTTTTTTCCTTTCAATGCAAACGACATTGCCTTTTCAGCAGCATGTTTCTTCCCCTCTGGATCAAATTTGTTAGCATTTTTATGCATCCTAAGACAGGGAGAGGGAAAAATTGTGTTCTGTAATGTTTTTGTAGGCACAAACAACCCTTCTAAGGCTCTATTTGTCATTCATTTTAAGTATGCTACTCTTTGGTGTAAAAGTATAATCACAGTGTGTTATGGCATTGACCTATTGAGAAGGAAGTTACACCTTAATATCTAGGATTTTTAGCATGCTATGTGCATTCAAAACCCCTTATTTCATGTATAACAGTCACCTGCTCTTCTCCCTCCTCCATGCACCTATGTTTGGAAACAATTAAAAACTGCTTTCTTTTTGGTTATGGCTTTCAGTTTTGTCCTGGAGTACTGTCAGGATTTGGTAGGGATCTTACAAATCACCTGCCTTGTCTACACAGAATAAGCAGGACTTCATTTGTGAAAGTTGTCTTAACTGTGTCTTACTGCTCCTCTTGCTCATAGAAATTACTCTGGGGTGTTCCTTGTTTTCCTCCCTGACACTATCTTAAATTGGTTAGCACCTTGAGTTTTAATTTAATCGTCTTGGCGCCACAGGGAGTTTCATGTGGTTGGAGCTGAATGCCAAACTGATCGTCTCTCAGCTTAACAGACATCAGGGTTTCTGCAGACTGTCTAAACCAGAGTTTCAGGTGGGTTGAGCTCTATTTGCCTCCCTTGCTACCAGCTGCTGTTTGGCTAAAAACTTGTGTGGTGTGGCTGTAGGACATCTGTTTAGATACACTGTTAAAAACATTATGTTCTTCTTGAAATGGAGGCTGAGGTTTGGAGGTGAGAACCAAGAGGACTTAATATGGCAGGAAGGAGACTCAAAAGATTTTCCCAGGCAGCTATCAACTCATTGAAGTGACAACTGCTTGGGGCCCTGTCTCTTCTTGCTCTGTCTGTCATGTGGCTAGGAGCTTGTCTGAGGGCACACCAGGGAATTCCTCTTTATCCTGCTGTTTGTTCATTCCTTTAAGAACACAGAAATTAACCTTTATTACATGCCCCAGTGTCCTTGAAAGCTTTTTGGATTAACCAAGTAGTCATGTTCCTGCATGTTTTTGACTTCAAATGACTGAAGTGGGAAGCAGATGACTTTGATTTTTGATCCTAATAGTAAATTCTTAATAGAAGTGGTAGGTAGATGGCTGTAGCACTAAACAGCTCACTGTGCAGCTGATCTTTTAGAAAGGTGAGTGTATCCAGAAGGATCTCTTGAGGTTGGTGTTTCTCTAGACTAGAGAGTTTACCTTTTTCTACTAGCAAATAACCACTAAGGAGATGTTGTAAAAGATGAAGCTGGAATTCTGTCCTCAGCTAACATCCTGCAGGTTTTCTGATGAGGTGGGAAGTTTAACTGGGAAGCACATCCTTTCAAGTTCTTTATCTTGTAAAGTGATACTTATTTTACACCCACCACAGTGTTTCAGCCAGAAATACAAATAACTGGCACAATACAAAACTGCCGATTACAAGCATATGTTTTCCTGAAGGGGCTAGAAATGGATTAGAATATGATTAGGGATTTATTGTTGAGAGGGATTAAGCAACAGGAGCTTTTTAAGGTCACATCTTCGAACTGCAGCCTTGCTGTTCCTGAGAATTTGCAACAAATCTTTCCTACAGTGGAAAGGGTGTGGGAAAGGTTTGGTTCTTAAGGCACCGGAAGAAAGCCTAAAGCATAGTTCCGTGTGCCATTATGGATCCCAAATGCTACAGCTTGGAAAGAAGTTCTTAGAAAATCTTTCCTGTTTGTTTTTTCATATTGCTTCTAGAGGAATTTTTAAAAAAAAAAAAAAAAAAAAAAAATTAAAAAACTAAAAATACAGCTTGAAAGTGACAGGACACCTAAGCAGTCATTTTCTCTGATTCAGTTGTGGGCTTCCATGACTTGGAAAGTGCCTTCAGTCATCTTCCTATAGGAGTCTTCTTCCATCTGGGAGAGCCCAGGAGAAAGAAATGATTCTGTAAGATGCTTGATGGCTTCATGTCTGTCTAAAAAAGGAATGCAAAATTTTCTAATATGTTGTACTAAAACTGGCCAGGGCAACTTGTTTTATTCACAGTTCTGTGTTAACTGTAACATTGTTTTACCTGAGATGTATGCTAGAGTTTAAATGTACATAATTAAGTTGCTGGAAATCGCTGCAGTGTCAAGGCTTTGTAGTGAGTGACTTTGTTCCTTTTCTGCCTTTTCCTCTTGTTTCTTCATCTTGTTTCTTCAAATTTGTGCCTCTGCACGGGGCACCAGTCAGTGCTGCAGCTGTAGCAGGCACACTCTCCTGGTCTGTTAGCTCTGGCTTTCTGTAATGTGATGTTTATAAAACGTTGGGAAATGGTAAAGAAATCTTACCTTCCTGTAGCTGCCTGTTATCTGGCCTTGTGTTTACATTCCACTTTTTTTTAAAATGCAAGCTACAAATCTAACTTGTTAGTGGGACTGCACTACACAATCATCCCAGTTTGGAGTTTATTTTATTTGTTTTGGGGTTGTTGGGTTTTGTGAGGTATGGTATAACGTTGCAAACATTTTAGTCTCCTGTAGTCCAAACAGCTAGAGATAATCCTTTCCTGATTTGCCATTTTGCTGGTCCTTATGTTATTCCCTGCAAGCTTAGTTGCTGCCTTTTCCTCCTGATTAACTGCTAATAGACTTCTTCTAGTCATTAAACACTCTTGCCTTCTGTGTACAACAGTGACCTCTGCCTTGCAGTCTTCTTCTGCCCAGTAAATCTAGTTATGTTTTTTCTCCACTAACAGCAGTAGCTTAGAGAACTCCTACCCTGTACTATCATTCAGTACCCGTAACTGCTGGGTTTATGTGCTGAGTAGGTTTTTATGAGGGAAAGAATGAACGTTTATTGGGTTAATGCTGATTGCTTTGCAAGAATAATCTTCAGCCTTTTGCCTTTAAAACTTCAGATTAATTCTAGCTCTAATATAAATGGAAGTTAAATTATAAGTCTTAAACTTAATTTAGTCATTAGGGCCTTTTGTAATCCAAGGGATGGCCTGTAGGCAGCTGTGCCATGCACTCACAGGAGCTCTGATTCCAAGCAGGTTTAGGCCTGGAAATGGTCAACTCTAAAATGCCCTCTCATTTAAGCAGAAGCTTAGTCCAATCCTGTGTTGAGTAGGAAACCCTGCAGAGCAGTCTGGATAAGACAGCAAAGGATGTGCCCATTTAAGTTTGCTGGTGTGATAACACAAATCTAATTGGGGCTTAAGTGTGTATATTCTAGAGGTTACAGTAGTGCATCAAAGCGTGGAGACTGTATTGTACACAAAGTACTGTTAACACTGAGAAATAGCTTTCAATGCCTGTTAAACAATGCTTTTTGTTTTTCTCCTTAGATCAACGTTCGGGTTGTTACTATGGACGCAGAGCTGGAGTTCGCCATCCAGCCAAACACTACAGGCAAACAGCTGTTTGACCAGGTCAGTGGAGGGTTGGTGTGGGCTCTTTTTTAAGCTTGGAGTACATTTCAGATGATAGTGTTTTCTTAAGACTGGATTCCAAACCTGCCTTTCTTACCTCCTAATCAAGGGGTCCTGGTCTGAACTAAGATCTCTAAATTCCATCATAGTAAAAGGGAAAAAACAAACAAAAATCCTTGCAGGTATGTTATGTTCCAGTGAAATCCAGCTTCCCAGCTGTGTTGGGTAATGAAGTGTCATAAAGGACCTAAAATGTCTGGTACATGTAAAAAAATCCACCTCTTGCTTTGAAATACAGCTTGGCTCTTACTTACATCTTAAATTCTGAAGTTGAGGTAGGCACTTGACACAGGTGTTCAGGTTTGCCAAACTACTGGAAAACCAGAAGAGTTTGTGATCTCTATGCAGCAACTATAGCAGCGTGCCTTGTAAGAAGCCCCTGTGCAGCAGGATGGAGCAGAGGCTTGCCCAGCTTGCCCCTGGGGGCTCCCAGGGAAGGGGAGGGCATGAGCAGCCAAGAGTCTCCTACCTTACTGTTACTCTTCCTGCTACTGCATGAACAATATACATGTCTGTTTGGAGGTGGACCTGCAAAGGTCAGATAAAGACAAATAAAATAAACAAAGAGCACTCTGTAAAACCTTCTCTTAAGTAGCTTGCTCTTATAAAACTGAAGCAAGTCCTGATTTAACTTATTGTTCTGGATTTTTTTTTTTTTTTTTTTTTTTTCTGGAACCCTGGAAGCTAAGAGCTGATCTATGCAGACTTTGGTTACACATATTAAGCTGTTTACAGAGTTTTACAGCGATTCGTTTGCACTTGTCCACTGCTAGACTTGATAGCAAAGGGTGGTTGAGCTTTAACTCAAGTAGGCAGAACTGGCTAAACAATGGCCATTTCTTCTAAGCTTTTGTTGGTACAATTTCTCTTTTTAGTGAGTTATCTAGAACTTGCTAGGCCTTATAACAGCTGTGCAGAGAGGGCTTTCAAAACAAAACAAAACAAAAAAACTCCAACAACAAAAAACCCCTCCCACAAAACCCCAAACTCTCAAGAAACAACCAACCAATTTAGTGGTTTCTTGGAGGGAGTGAAAGGAAGAAACCAAATTATAATCATTGTAGTACTTCACAGTACAAAGTAGAGTACTGAAAACTGTGTTTAACATTAAATATAATTTAAATTGCTTTTTGATTATTACTGATGTGGGATAAACGTCAAGTATTTATTGACTGGCATCCTGAAGTGCATATAGAACCAGCCAGCACTGGTTTCCATTGAACTTCCCATTCTCTGCTGATCACTCTTGCATCAGGGTAATTTACTCCCCCAGCCACTTCCGTGTCAACTCAAAATAGAGAACTTAGGTTTCATCTCTGAGGGTACAAAAATCCAGATAACTAGAAGTCAGATTTTTAAAAGCAGTACCTTAGATCAAGTAATGTAAGTATATCCTATGTTCCTTAAGGACTTCCCACCCCAACATATTCACTAATGTTTACATCGGTTAACAGTCAGGGTCACCTCTCTGGCAGAAGAGAAACTACTCTCTTGACCTCCAGCAGAGAACAACAAAGTCCTGTGAACGTGGAAAAAAGCAGAATGCTTCAGATCCAAGATAATTCTAGCTTGCTGTCTAGGTAGTTGTGGATTTCTGATGACTGCTTGTTGCAGCACTCGGTGCACTTTTGGGATAGACTCTCACCTCATTAAGATTTGCTCCTTACATCCCATGGCTTGGGTTTAAAAACTGCTATTGGGAATTCTTAGCCATAGGCCATACCTTGTTGGGGCGCACCTCTGCGTATCACAAAAAGGCTAAGGTAGAAGTGTGCAGCATGAAACTGAGGAAGGTGAAGACCATGTGTTTAGCTGTCACTGTTCTGACATCTCTTTGCTTCTGCTATGCAAGCCTTTTACCAGGCCCTTATCTCAGATGGAGCTGACACTCAGATAAAGCCTATGGAGGCAAGAGGTTTTCACAGGTATAGGGAGTGGCCTCCAACTGCAGAACCACTGTTGGGGGAAGAGGCATTGAAGAAGCAGGCTATGATGATTTCTTGGCCTGGCTGTCAGCTAACAAACTACTCTGGCAGTGCCCTTTAGGCTTGGCTACCGTAACTGTATCCCACGCATAAGTTTGAGTATAGTTCCCTTTTATAGAAAGGGGGAAAACAGTGGAAACTTGTGAATATTGAGTTCAGCTCCACTCAGGGCAGACCTGTGCAGAGGTCACGCCACAGTGGTCTGAGGTGTCCCAAGAACCAGCAAGGGGGCTCTGCAGCTGCCAGTCATGGGCCAGCCTGGCCCTGAGGACGAGCAGCACAAATGGAGAAGAGGGTGCCACGGGCAGTCTCTGGGCAGCAGATGCATTTCTGAGTGGGATGGGCAGGCTGGAGGTTTGCTGCTTCATGCCTTTGAGGAGAGAGGGGAGGTCATGCCTTGGTTCTTAGCTCTTCCTTGTTTTCCTGTGGAGGAAGCTTACAAAAAATTTCCCAGAATGCAGGCTAAAACATTCATGTCTTTGTATTGGAACTCAAGTGGTCAGATTGTGAGGTTTAGCTTGATATGTTCAACGTCCTTGCCTTTAAGTTTGGGGAAGAACTTGAGTGGTAATAACTTCTGCAAGCTTTCTAACTTGATTTATAGAAAAATTGTACTTTTTCTGTTCTAAGAGACATTCAGAGATAATGACCTGATAACTGCTTTATTTATGCAACTCTTTAACAAAGTTGCAACACTTTTTTTGTGCAACAGGAAGTACCACGCTCCACATACCCTTGCTTTTCTGATGGGCTTTACTCAGTCTAATTCTGACTGTTCTAAATGTCTTGATGTCAGAAAACTTGTCTGCTTGGTGGTGAAACAAGCCACTTCAAGGAAGGAGGGAAGGGGAATTTTAGTCAAGTAAAGGCTGAAGTATTTTCAGATATCAATTCTTTTTTAAAAAGTTGGAGGGTTTGGGGTTTTTTGTTCATTTTGTTCATTTCTTGTTCATTTTGTTCTCCAGCAATACTATAAATGGGGAGGGTGAAACAGATCCTTGGTTGAGATCTTAGACTTGTTGAGGCACATGTAACTACACCCTCTCAAGTCTGTCACACTTGCCTAACTTGCAAAGTAGTTTTAAAATCTCTTGCCTTCCACTTGGTTCAGCTCTCTATGGTGATGGCTACATCGCCTTTTGAGGGGCTACTCTGCAAATAACACCAAGGAAGTGATTCAGATGTGTATTTAGTGGATCTTTCCAGATCTCAGCTCTGTCTAGAGCACAGTTTTAGAGGTAGGTGGGCTGGCAATGCACTGCTGGGCTATAAGAATAAGCAATCAAGAGTAGGAGAAGATCAGGAACTTGTTAGGCTCTCTCCTCCACTGAGGAAAAGGAACATATCCAAACAGGACTATTTTCACTATTAAGTATGCCATAGAGTCAATGAATGGTGTTTCTGGATCTTTTTATCTGGTTAGTGTTTACAATATATGAAATTAAATTTAGTCCTAATTTTAGCCATCGATATATTTTGTTTCCTTCAAAGCCAGCCTTTGAGTGAGTTTAGAAAGAATACCCTTGGCTGAGACTACTTGCAGCTTGTTTTACTTCTCAAAAACCACATAGGGAGCTCACTGCAGCAGCTGTGTGAAGCATCCCCAGTTGCTTCCTCCAGCCAAATAATCTTTAACTGGCTGACAAGCACTCAGCCATTAGTAGTACCAACTAGCTGTTGTTGGTACTAACACCATTACAGACTGTCTCACCATAAGCTTTGGTGAGAGAAGCAACTTGTCTGCTTCACTGAGTAGGGTTTTAAGAGGGACTGGTAGAGACAAGCAGGCAGAAGCCCCACCTGCTGCCCGTGTACCAGTCTAGCAGTTGGTGGCCTGTCACTTGCCCTGTTTGTCTCCTAGTTTCCCCAGAATATTCTTCTAGGAGCTGTGTGGGAGCTAAGCCTATGCCACTGCTGTCATTTGCTATGGCAGCTGTCTATCTCTGTCTAAAAGGTGAAATTAAGAGAAGCCAGATGAGTAGGTTTAGGCTGTTGCCTGCACTCACAGGTGATGCAGGACCTGAAGTGAACTGTTACCTACAATAATTTTTTATGGCCTTTCTGTTGCAGGTGGTTAAAACCATAGGTTTGCGAGAAGTGTGGTACTTTGGTCTTCAGTATGTGGACAACAAAGGATTCCAGACTTGGCTGAAGCTTGACAAAAAGGTAACACACTTCGGCCTAATTGCTGAGCAAAGGTTAAAACTTACATGATGGTTACTGATGGGTTATTGGCTGCAACTTTATAAACCTCGTACCTATTGTTGATGGTTCCTTAATTCTCATAACTCAAGGACTATTTTTAGAGAGAACTTTGTGACCTCCACGGGAACTGTTTGGGTGAGGTGTGACACAGTGAAAGTTTGCCCTTTCTGTGTGAATTGTTTATGGCATTTGTCGGAGGTACAGCAGCAGCCTGGTATTGTACCTTTGTTTGGTAGAAGCAGCTGTTCTCGCTGTGAGTGGAGGAATGTCCTGGCCGTTGATGATTTTAGTCTCTGCCTGTGCAGGATCAGTTGTTGCACTGATCAGGAGATAGGTCATGAGAAGCCTGGGCAGTTCTCACAGGGCGCTGATGCCTCTGATGTGCTCTTGTTTGTGGCCTTGTGGCTCTTGCGAGGGCATGACCCGTTTCTCTTGGTGGGGCAGTGAGTGACATACCTGTTTAATGTCACGGGGCCGTCCTCTGTCAAACACGTACAGCTCTGGGTGGGTTTGCCATCTGACACGGCGTGGTAAATCATTCTCTAGTGGCTAAGGTTTACTATGCAAAGAGAATTTTACTGGCTTAGTTAGAAAACATAACATGTCTCTTCTGTGTTATACCAGTGAGCAGCTAGAATTAAGGAGAATTAATGAGTTGCCAGTCGCTCAGAGTGAGCAAATGGCCCAAATTCTTTCTTCTGTGGAAAAGCAATTTGTTGTGTTGTTTGCAACCCTGCTCAGTTGTGTTGTCTCCTCTGTCCTCAGGTTTCTGCTCAAGAAATCAGAAAGGAGAATCCCCTCCAGTTCAAATTCCGTGCCAAGTTCTTCCCAGAGGATGTGTCTGAAGAGCTGATCCAGGACATTACGCAGAAGCTCTTCTTCCTTCAGGTGAAGGAAGGGATCCTTAGCGATGAGATCTACTGTCCTCCTGAAACAGCAGTGCTTCTGGGCTCCTATGCTGTGCAGGCCAAATATGGAGATTATAACAAAGACGTGCACAAGCCTGGATACCTCAATTCGGAGCGCCTGATCCCCCAAAGGTGAATGAGTTGGTTGATGCAGACTCCCTTTTTTGTTGTTGTTTTTAAAAGGCGAGAATTTGCGTTCTAGTTAAATACAGAGTTTCACTGAAGGCATGACTTCTCTTTGGTTGTTTTTTTTCTGTTTTTTTCAGTTGAACTGTATCCATTTGGGTTTTTTTCTTTTTATTTCTGTCGGAGTAAGTTTTTGTACTCTCTCCTTGGGTTGGTTAGAGAGAGGAAGTACACTTGTGAATTCAGTTTTTCTTTCCTTAAACATTGCTACCATGCTGGTAACTGGCAGTATGTCTCCTCTTTAAGAAGAAAAGAGCAGCATTCAGTTGAGAATGTGTCATCTCTGGAGAAGGTTGGGTTGTGTGTCCTCAATCCTAATGTACAATCCTAAAAAATCTTGTATCTGGAAAGCATGCCTTGAAGCTACCTAGTCCATCCCCACACAGGAAAAGTGTGTGTGTTATCAGATGACTGGCTTCTGTTTGTGCTCCCTGAGGACACTCATCAGCAATGTCTAATTAGGAATGACACCAACTTTTGCTTTGCTTTAACCCACTGGGGTCTACAGTGTGTATTTGATTCTCCTGCAGTGTTGTGCTTACACCTCTCATGTCTCTGGTCAGGGACCAGGAAGGCTTTGCACAGGCAGAGGGTTTTTGTTCATTCCACATTGCTCTGCTTCACAGAGGACATCTTTGAGCTGAGTAGGATCTTCCTTTTGGTTTAAGTAATGTTTCATGGGTGGGACTAATTTTTCAGTAAGACTGTAGCAAAGATCAACATCAATGGGTACAGTGGAACATAAGGTCTGATCTTGCTAATATGTCTTTCCTATGTCTTTCCTTGTGTAGGGTGATGGATCAGCATAAGCTCTCCAGAGAGCAGTGGGAAGAACGGATCCAGGTGTGGCATGCTGAACACAGTGGGATGCTCAAGTAGGTGTTTTTTATTGATCCTTAAGAGAGTCACTTTATTGCTGGTTGATTACCTTAGTCTTGCAGTCCCATGACATAGACTTTTGAAATAGACTCAGTCACCTGTGTGGGGGCACACTTGGTGTATGCTTTTTAGCCAAGCATTGAATCACATAGTAGAACTCCATAGGTTATTTGCACTGATGCTGAGAACAGTGTCTTGGATGGCTTCCTGAAGATTCCAGACCAAGGTAGAGTTTATTAGTGATGAGTTTGAGTAGAAAGAAAAGTAAAGGTGTATGTCTATCTTTAGGTTAATTGAAGCATTTGCATTGGCAGATGGGGAAGACTCAGATGCTACACCTTTTCTGGTGACTGTACCTTCAGACAAAGATGAATGTTGAGAGAGATGAGTGTTGCTAATTTTCTGTCCAGAAATACTAGGGCTTGGTAAATGGGAGTACTCTGTGTGTGTATGTTCATAGGTGTAACTTCATAACTTCTGAAGTGAATCCCAAATGGTGAATGTTCCATTTTAACTCCTGTATTTGATGTGTGGGTTCAGGAAAAGTTACTTGTTTCTTTTGAGGGCATTATGCTTTCTGAGACAGTCAGATAAATGAGAAGCTAACATCTGCTCTCCTTCTTGTCTCAACCAGAGAGAATGCCATGCTGGAATACCTGAAGATTGCTCAAGACCTGGAGATGTATGGAATCAACTACTTTGAAATCAAAAATAAGAAGGGAACTGACCTTTGGCTGGGGGTGGATGCCTTGGGGCTCAACATCTATGAAAAGGATGATAAGTAAGGCTTTTGTTGTTACCTTTGATCTCCCAGACTGAGGGCTGGTGTGGGAACCAAGGGACATTTCTCATTTACAGGATTAGGGCAAAGTTTAGAACTCGCTTGTGTTCCAGTTTTGGATCAGTAGGTGAAGCTGGGCTGAAAAATGAACTTTGACATCATTTTATGCTTCCTGACCTTTCTAGCCTGACCTGCTAATGCCACTTACTGTGTAAGAGGAGACATGGGTTGCACGGTGCCATCTGGCAACGCTTGCACAGTTGTGGAGCTGAGCCCTGAACTGAGGAGTTGGCCAAGCTGTTCCTTGAGTCAGGTTGCCAGGCATGCCAGCGGCGGGGAGCAGGCGGGAGCCCAGGCAGGCTGGGGTGGCTGGGGAGCACTGGGACATCCAGGGCCATTCCTGCACCCGAGTTAATGACAGCTGTGTGCACAGCTGCCTGGTTTTGGAGGAGATGGATTATGGGGCGGACACAAAACCAAAGCTGGATAACACCCAGAGCCCAGGGAGGAGTTAGCCTGTGGAGTTGCTGTGAACGAGGAACAGAATGAGGTCTGGCTGAGGTCTGCGTGGTTTTAATCAGCTCTCCTGGTAAAGGCAGGGCCATTATTAATTGGTTAGTGGGCGGGAAAAGATAGACTACATCTACAAATAAGCACAAAAGGAAGGTGAGAACAGCTGTATGTGAGCCTGCTAGTCTCTTCTGATACTGCACAACCAAAGGACTGAAGAGGAGTTAAAACAGACATTTTTTTAGGTGAAGTGTTGCTGTGCTGTCTGGACTGCTCCCCCCGCTTCCCCCCCACGTTCCAAATCTTGGTTTTGATGTCGCTAATCTATAACAGACTGTGGTTGTAATACAGAAGGGATTTTACCTGCTCTACATCGTAGTCTCCAAAAAGCTTTGAATGCGACCCAAATATTAATTGGAACTCTCTGGAGCTTTTGTTAAGCCAGAAAAGAGAAATGCAGCCTTTTCTGCAATGCTAATACGTGCTGTCATCCAGAAAACAAGGAGTGTCATTTGAAAGAGAAGTAGTTTCGCTCATGTAATACTTCAGTCTTGAATGACTGGTCTTGCTATGTAACCATGGTCACATAAACAGGTTTTTCAAGCTGCAGAAGCAGACAGAATGTAGCCATTGACTCTGTAGAGCTATCAAGAGCATTTGCAAAACAAATACAGTGCTGGAATAAACTGCTCGTTTCTGCTGTAACTCTTGCTACTATATAATTAAGTCTTCTGAGCAGATACAGGAACTAGAAAAATAGTCATGTGTACCTTGCCTCTGGTTGGTAGATGCAAAACTGGGGGACTGGGACAAAGGTGAAGAAGCAAAGATTTAATTGCTGAAGTTCCATCTGAGGAAAAGGAGACAGTGCTATAGGTGTGTGAGGCTCTATACTGCAGTGTATCCATGTCCCAGTTCCAGGTATTTCCAAGCTCTCTGGGTCTTTCTTCAACATTGAAAAGGAGAATCTGTGATAGAAATTGAGTTATTTTAGTTGTCTATCACACTGTATTATCAAGGGTCGAAACACTTAAGCTAATATGGCTGGAGTAAGTAATTTTAGTCTAATCAAATAATTTTCTTTACAGTTCTTAATGTTACACATACACACTGTTACATAATATTGCAGTTGAGTTAAAGGTTAGGGAATGGTAAGTTCTGAAGAGGAAGTATTTTTGTCTTGATGTCTGATTTTTAAATGAAGCCATTTTTAGAAAAAGAAACAACTCGGGCCCGATGAAATCATGCTGTGTAGTAGTTTCCTGTCTCTGTGACAGAGCCAAATTCCTCCTAAAGTGCCAGCTTTTTTCCTTAACCTGTAAGAATACTGTTTAGGGAGCTCATTGAATTCACGCAGTTCAGTGTGACGATGGATGTTTTGCTGAGTGCTAAACATGAAATACTTGTCTTCAAACTGTTTGCTAGAAATAATTGTTGGCACTTCAGCATGTCAGAGACGTATTGGAGGGGTTAGATAAAAACAAGAGGATTGCTGCTTGGTACTATAATTTACGTAAGATACCATACAGAACCATTAACTGCTACCTCTAGAAAATATCTCCCTTGATAAGAGAATAATAAAAACAAATAATGTTATATTAAACTTAAAAAAAATAATTTCTGGGGAGGAATTAAAGGAATTAGTTACAATGAAATATGAAAGTCCTTGTAATATTAGAACTTCCTGCAGAGCTGGGCAGGTGTGTGTGGGTGAAGTGCTGGAATGGCTTAGGAGTGTTTGATCTCGTGAATAACTTTATGCTTTTTGTATCAAAGAAAATACAAAGAAATTAAAGCAGAGGGAAATCCCAAATTATTAGCAAAGCTTAAAGAAATCATTTGAAACAAACCAACAGACCTGAATGCCTAAGCAGGAAGGAAGAGCTGGGAATCTGAATTCTACTCTTTGCTTCACAGAACTGCACCCCAGTAGGAGAGGGCCCTGTGGTGCAGCTCCTTGCACGAGCAGTGCATATTGTTCTGCTTGGTGACTGTTGGGGAGGGCTGGAAGAGCAGCTTGCATGGAAGGAAAGAACAGGGCTCTTTACTAGCCCTGTGTATAATCTGGGGGAGGAAACAAAAGACAAGAAATCTGCCTCTGCCAATTATGTTTGTGCCTGCCCAGCACTTCAGAAGTGAAGGCAGTGTGGAGGTAACTGGGCTACAGCAGGGTGAACTTCTCTGTAGGTGTTAGAAGGTGTAGGGAGAAGCTGAATTACTTTGACTTATGCCTCCCATGATACACGAGAAGCCTCTGGGAAGCACAGCACATATACCTACAGTCTGCGTACTGTGGATTTTAGGCCCTGATTTCAAATAAGCTTAAAGCAGGTGGTGTTTGGCAAAGCTGAGCGGGTGGTTTCAGTAGAGACCATCCCCATTGCCTACCCAAAGATCAGTAGGGTGGCTGACCAGAATGAGAAGATGAGAAGAGACTCTCCAAATGAGGTGACTGGGCTTCTTTTCCTACTCCCTGTGAGTTTTTGATTCAGCTACTGTCTTCTTTCTGTTGGGAGAGCTTTGTGAAGTGTTGCACCCCACTAATTCTGTGTGTTAGGAACAATGTGAGGAAAAAAAAAAATGTTCATTGCAGCATGTCATTAAAATATTTCTCTTTTTTTCCAGACTGACTCCAAAGATTGGGTTTCCCTGGAGTGAAATCAGAAACATCTCTTTCAATGACAAGAAGTTTGTTATAAAGCCTATTGACAAGAAGGCACCGGTAAGTACATCTAAAATGGATTTCTGGGTACTGCATATGAACAACTAATACTGTTTCATCTCAACACAAAGCAGTCCTTGGAAAGGAGACAGCTGCAGATATTCTAGATGCAAAACAAACCTCAGTATTTAGGGTGTATTTAGATCTGTCTGGTTTTCTGTGCAGTGTAAGTAAAGGGCTTATGGTGGTATCTAACATGGAGAAAGACAAGGATTTTTCAGTTACAGAGTCCTTGTTTTATAGCAAACTGGGTAACCTTATGCTTAAATCTCAGATTCTTCACTAGTTCTGGGAGTCTTCTGTGTAGCCAAATTAGACTCATCCTCTCCCTATTTCATCCAGTGCATGGAAGCTGGTGGGTAGCTCTTTTTCTGTTGTTCGTTAAAAACAAACAAACAAACAACACAAAAATCATTCCAGTGCTACTGCAAAACCGCATGGTATGGCTTCCCAGCTGAGGGCTTGCTGCTCGCTCCCAGTCTACCAAACGAGCAGAAGCCCGTTAAGGACCATGGTGTTCACTGGCCTTCTTGAATAGTAGGGTAGATGGCAGCAATATGATTTCTGTGGAGAACTGAAATGGAGCTATTTGTGAATGTTACTTTTCAGTACTTCCAAACAAGTTTTCAGAGTTATTTTAGTGAAGAATTAGCAACTTAATTTGACCTGTTGAGAACACAAAGTGGAATAACTTGTATAGGTGGATCTCATTCTGTCAGTCTTGTGAAACCACTGGAATAGTTGGGAAAAACCTTTTCTACCTCTCTGCCCCCACACCAGTACTTGGCCTTGGTGGGAAGTACAGTTCTGAGAAATAATAATCAGTTTGGCTTTGGCAAAGGGTGATGGCTTGTAAATCTCCTTAATGCAAAAGGATCCTCCCAGTAGTTTATAGGATACTAATGTACAGTGTGCTGCAGGGCTTTCCTCTAGGTAACAACCTGGGTTTTGGGGGGAGAGGAGCTTCCTTCTGTCATGCTGTTAGTGAAAGCCAACAAAACTCCACACAGATAGAAGGCTGGTCTGTCAGGCATTTTCTTCTTAATAGAAGAGCTTCTTGGTCGTGTTGTACACCTTTCAAGATATTCAATCATATTCAATATTAATCACCTGCTTATGGATCACAGCTTTCTATCTGCTCCCCAACAGCAAATCAGACTGGATTTGAAATGGGAGACTTGCAAGAGGCTGATACAGAAAGTTGTTAACATTGAAAACCTCAATTATGTTTCATTCTGCTGTGTCAGTTGTCCTTTTCCCTCTGGGTGGTGTCGTGTTTAAAGCTGTGTCTGAAAGGAGAATTTATCTCAACACTAATTCTGAGCATTTAGGAAATTGTCATATGCTTGTGTCTCCCTTTAAAAAGGCAAGGACTGTAACTACAGCAAAATACTTGATCCACCCAAGATGTGGGTTGGAAGCTCTCCTTAAGTTTGGAGGATTCTACATGTCAGTGTTTAAATGGACTCTAATGTAATGGGTTGAGTCCCATGTACCTTGCCCAGAATAATTTTTTTAAATTTTAGGCCTATCTGCCCACATACTCCCAACATCTTCAGCACATTACACTTGCAGTACCAAGCTGTGATGCTCTCAGTTGTGAGAGACCAAAGGGAGGCTGGTGGTGACAAAAGCAGCAGGTTCTGCTAGTTCTAAGCTTTTCACTGATTCTACTGTGGCTTCCAGCTTTCCCAAAGATAGCCACAGCTTGTGCTTCTGAGCTCAGGCAATTAAAAACCATCATCACTGCTGCCATGTGTGTCCCTTCTTAGTTCTACCTCTTAAAAACAATGAGGAGATCTGCAGGAAGGTGTTTCAGAGGAATGATCAGGCAGGTAATGAACCTAGAGGTCACTGTTTGAGTACTGGGTTCAGTTTTGGACACCACAGTATAAGAAAGACATTGAGGTGCTGGAGCAGGTCCAGGGAAGGGCATGGAGCTCGTGAAGTGCCTGGGGAACATGGCTTATGAGGAGTGGCTGAGTGAACTAGGATTGTTTAGTCTGGAGAAGAGGAGGCTGAGGGAGAGACCTTATTGCTCTCTACAACTACCTGAAAGGAGGATGTGGTGAGATGGGTGTTGGTCTCTTCTGCCAAGTAACTAGTGATAGGACAAGAGCAAATGGGGTTAAATTGTGCAGTGGGGGCTTAGGTTGGATATTAGGAAGAATTTAGTTACTGAAAGAGTGGTGAGGCACTGGAACAGACTGCCCAGGGAGGCGGTGGGGTCACCATCCCTGGAAGGGTTCATAAAACATATAGACGTTTGGCACATGGTTTAGTGGTCATGGTAGTGTTGGGTTGATGGTTGGACTTGGTGGTCTTAGATAGAGGTCTTTTCTCAATTACAATAAAATCAGTAGCAAGCTGACGAGCCTGCAGTTAGCTGGGAGAAGAGAAAGCAAGCTGTGAAAACTGACTCTGTGGTGTTTCTCTTCTAGGACTTCGTGTTTTATGCCCCTCGTCTGCGAATTAACAAGAGGATCCTGCAGCTCTGCATGGGCAACCATGAGCTGTATATGCGGCGCAGGAAGCCCGACACCATTGAGGTACAGCAGATGAAAGCCCAGGCACGGGAGGAGAAGCACCAGAAACAACTGGAAAGGTGAGCTGGAACACAGACAGCGGGGATGGGGTGGCAGAGGTGGAAGGCACCGAGCTGGCAGGGTTCAGCCGGTAGCTGTCGCCGGCGG